GATGATCGGTAAGCGAAACAGGGTACCGTTCATCGCAAAGCAATTTTTTCCCATAGGGATCTCAAAAGTGATAGCAAAATCTTCGTCGCTATGCGATTTTGTCGTTAAATAAGGCACCCGTTAAGCGAGGCACCACTGTACTCATGATCTGTTAGGGACGGGAATGTCACTGAGTTGCTAGGGAATAGTGACCATGCTGCCATCTCTTTTGCCCTGCATGTAGGGGGGAGATTATCAAGCAAATCTGACACAAAAACCCTTGATTTCTGAATAGTGGACTTCCCTCAGACGTGGAAAAATGTTAGAAAGAAGTTGAAAGGATAGGTAAAAGAATACATAGAGTCTTTTTAAACAATGGTAGTAGAGGTCCAGTGGAAGTGTATACCGCAAAAAAATGGACTCAACCGAGTCCAAAAAAGTGCCAGAATGGTTAATGAGCAAAGTTACAGAGGCATTAAAAGGAAAGAAGGGGTCCTTCCATAAATGGAAATTCTTCCCAAATTAAGAAAATTAAAAGGACAAACTCTGCCATAAGAAAAGTAAGAAGATGATACGAAAGTCAAAGAAAGAGTTTGTGGAACATTGGCCAGCAATATAATGGGAATAATAAAAGCTTCTTTAAATATTTTAGAAGCAGGAAACTTGCCACAGAAACGGCTGGTCCTCTGGATGGTGAGGGAGGGAAAATGGAGGTAAATGGGAGATTGGGACTTGGGACAAGATGGGGCTTGGAGATTGCAGATAAATTAAATGACTTTTTTTGCATCTGTCTTCATGACGGACGACTTTGGGCAGATTACACAGCCTAAATTGCACTCCTGGAATAATGAATTACTGTACATACTCAAGTATAAACTGATGAGAATATAATCCGAGGCACCCAATTTTTGTCACAAAAAAAAACCAACCAGGGAAAACTTATTGACTCAAGTATAAGCCGAGGGTGGAAAATGCAGGAGTTAGTGGTAAATTTCAAAAATAAAAATATCAATAAAATTACATTAATTGAGGCATCAGCAGGTTAAATGCTTTTGACACTTCACTGTCTGCGGAGGGAGGACTCATACTGGATGTTGCACTTATCTACTGTTCTACTGCTGCTTAACAAGATGGGTGGAGATGGAGGATGGAGGAGAAAGGTGGGAGAAGGAAGGTGGATATATAGAACATGCAGAAAGATGGGAGTGTCCTGGAATCTGTCGCTATGTGGAATCGTTGCTATACGGAACAAAAAAGCCCATAGGAACGCATTAAACCCCGCTTAATGCGTTCCTATGGGCTTAAAACTCACCGTTATGCAAAAATCCTCCATCCAGTTGCCATTTTTGCTGCCTGGCAAGAGAGGAAAGGGCATGAAAAACACAGCGGGTGGCCATTTTTCCCCCGGCGGCCATTTGAACCACCGATCAGCTGTTTTTTAAAACATTGCAATGCGAAAATTGGTGAATGAAATGCTACCGATCATCACAAAGCAATGTTTTCCCATTGGGAACATCGCAATGCGATTGCTTTTGCGATCGTACAAAACAAATCGCTATGTGGATTCATCGTTAAACGGGGCGCTCGTTAAGCGAGGCAGTACTATACTGGCACGCTGCTGGGAAAAAGAGCAGCAATCCCTCGAAATAAAGAACTTGGATTTGATCCTGATTATAGGGATCTGACCCCTTCATGGATTGCTCCCTTGTTGTGGTGAAGGGGCTTGAGTAACTCAGGGAAGCTATGGGCTATGCCATGCAGGGCCACTCAAGACGGACAGGTCATAGTGGAGAGTTCTCACTAAATGCAATCCACCTGGAGCAGGAACTGGCAAGCCATTCCAGTATCTTTGCCAAGAAAACCCCATGAACAGAAACAAAAGGCTAAAAGATATGACACTGGAAGATGGGACCCTCAGGTCAGAAGGCGTCCAACATGTTACTGAGGAAGAGCGGAGGACAAGTACAAGTAGCTCCAGAGCTAATGAAGTGGTTGGGCCAAAGCAGAAAGGACGC